GGTGGGATTGTGGGTGTTGGGTCTTGGGAGTCCTCTCCAGCCCAGAGCTTCTAGGAACCTATCATTCAGGGTAAGTAAAATAAGTGGGGAGCATGGCTGGGGAGGCCGCCAGGCTCCCCCACGCCAGACATCTCCAGAGGGCAGGACAGGAGACTCTAGGTATCGCTCAGCGAGTCTTCTTCAATGGACAGGGGTGAGACACCAGGTGGCTCTGACCCCCTGACAGGCAGCCCCAACCTTCTGGCACATGTGTGTGTCTAAGATCTTGGTCCTGAGTCAGGGTCCTGAGCTGGCACCTCCTGTGGTTGGATTTTCCTGCTTTCAGGGACCACCCTAGTGCTTGACTGTCCCCCTTCACGGGTGGGCTTTCACTCTCCATGTAGGGCTGAAGTCCCTCCTTGGCTCCTGGCCCCCTGGATACCGTTACCTGTTTTCAGCCTCCAGGCACGTCTTTTTTCCCTCGTGTCTTAGCCTGGGCCACCCAGGAAACAGGCCTGTTTCTCGGACCCACGTCCAAGCCTGCCAGCTCCCGACAGCTCTTTGGACTGGCGCGTTCTTCAGGGCCTAGTTTTCCCTTCCTTTTCTCTTGTGCTCCCCCAGTCCCTACCCAGTACCACAGCTCCTTTTCCAGCTGAGAGAGGGGACGGTGGGTCCCATTTCTGCTCACACTGGAGGGTTGTGCAGCTGAGCTCCTGGATTTAGCCAAACACTGCAGGAGCAGGGTGTGGTGGGCGAATCCAAAATGCCCAGGGCCTGGCTTGTGTCCCAGTAAGGCTGACTTGGGGGTGTGGTTTTATTGGAAAAGGGGGGCGTGGCTGGCTCCGAAAGGCAGACATGTGAGTGGCAGGCCAGCAGGGGTCTGCAGTGGGGGAGGCACTGGGAGGCCATGGCTTCCAGGTCAGCATCTTGTGTTTGTACATCTCCCGATTCTCCTCTCCCTTCCTTCTTTTCTAGAGGGCAAAGAATTTTGGCTTTGGGGGTGTTAGAGAAACAAACAGTCAACGAGAAATCTCAGGTGCTCACGCAGCTAGAACATGCCCTTGGGGAAAGAGACCTGTTCAGTTTCTCTGGGTGTCAGGAAGGTTGAACCACTGTGCTCTGGGAAGCAGCCCCCTCTCTGGCCTCTCTGGTGGGAGACCACCTCCAAATCTTGGGGCCGTCCCCATCTTCTCCAAACCCCTGGCACTAGAACGCATCTATCTGCTCAGTTGTAGAGGGTTTCTAAAGCTTTCCTTCCCGTTCAAGAAACTTTGCCCATTCCTGCCTCTTGCTGGTCAGCAGGGGATACACTGGGGAGTTTCCTCATTTCTAAGACTGCAGCTGGCCGCAGAGGAGAGGGGGGTGGTTGTCCCCTAACGGGTGGGATGCTGAGCTGCGTCATGGTCTCTGTAGGACCCAGTGATGGCTGCAGGCTGGGAATCACGGTGGTGTCAGCAGGCATTCTCCATTGTCAACCAGGGCGTTCTTACCGAGAAGACAAGACACCCCAAATGCTCTGGACCCCTGCTGACCAAGGAAAGGGTGTCTGTGCCGCAGACTTGCTCCGGCTTCCTCACCCAAACCTGGCCTGTCTCTCGGAGGTTAAGAAGTAATGAGGCATGAGTGCCTTTCCCTGGGCAGGGCGAGCACCGCCTGGCGCTTGTAGTGAAACCTCATGGGTCCGCTCTTGACAAGCTCCTTGCATCTGCGATTCCACACCACCGAGCCCTCCTCCTGTTCAGCTGGAAGGGACTTTGAGAGTCATCTCAGCACTTCCCTGACTGTGACTCCTAGAGTCACCTGGGGAGCGTGTGAACACGGACATTCTGGTTTGATAGGTCCTAACGGAGCCTCAAGAGCTGCGTTTCTAACCAGCCTCCAGGCGGTATGGGTGCTGCTGGTCAGAGGCCATGCTTTGGGCCGCGAGGTCCAACCGAGTCATTTTACAGGCATGAAAGCCGAGGCCCAGAAGGCCGAAGTGATCTGCCTGTGGCCCAAAACCGAACGCTGCTCTCCCCGCTCCCAGTCCATCTTCTGGCTTTCCAAAAGGCCTTCCTCCTCGTCAGCTGCCACTTCCTGCTCAGGCCCACAGCTCTAGCATAAACATAACATCCCATCGTAATCCCATTTCACCGGCAGGATGAAAGACCTCTTGTTCCATCAGGGCCTCTTGCTTCACGGCCTGCATTTTTACTATCTCCAAAGGGGTTTTTTAAGGTTTTTATTGTTCTGACTTACAGACACCTCCCTGTCTCCACTGGAAATGTTCTCTCTCTCAAAAAACGTGTGCTGGGCATTTCTGAGATAAAACCATTGCAAGTCCAGGCTGGAGACCCAATGCTGGGCTCACCCCGCGTGGCCTCCCCTGCTTGTTGGCACCTCCCCTGGAGTGATGAGCAAGGTTCCCTGTGTTTCTCTGCTGCCACCCGCCACCTTCTGAGAGAGGCCAAGCTAGAGCTTTGACGATGCCTGCCTCAGTTTCCCTAGCTCTCGAACATCCGAGAGCCCGTCACAAAATGGCCCTTGAAGTGGCAGGGAGGGATAAACGGAGGGTATCTGGATTGGCCTAGGGCCAGCAGGAACTGGTTTGAGAGTCTAAGGAGGTCTCCACTCTCTGTCCCCTCCTGCTGGTAGGAGGGCAAAATGCCAGTCTGGGGACAAGGCCATCCTGGCACCAGGGGGTAAAAGTCTCACTGAGGCCAAAGGAAGGCGGAATGTAAGGGGGAGTCAAGGCAAACTGCCTTTTATAGACATGTTCTTTCCTTTTTCTTTTTTCTCTTCCAAGTTTACTCACAGCAACAGTGCCACTCGCAGGCAGGCGCCTGGCCTGTCTGTGGTTGCGCCTGGGGTAGGCGGGTGGCACCCCCATACCCCTTCCCCCACCTTCCCTGCAAGTTGCATGACCTGCCTCGGAATCCACGGGGGGTGGGGCGGGGGCGGGGGAGAGCCCTTTCAGAAGCTGGCTGCAGTTGAATTCCCGGTCTTTGCTTCCTCGCCTGCCCTCACCCAAGCGCCGGGAGCAGAGCCGGGCTTTCTTCTGCGTGTGAATGAATGCTGTAGTGTGTGCGCCTGATCGGACTCCCCTAACCCTTTCTTCTCCTTTCCCACAGCGAATGCTCTTTTCAGCAAACAGCTCACACTTGGCATTTTGACGTTATGTTTTTATTTTAAAAAAATCCTTACCAAGGTAAAAAACGGGGCACCACCCCCGACCCCCACCCCTTGCTCTCCCATTGGGATCTGAGCTTGACTCCTAGGCTGGTTGCACCTGCTTTGCGCCCCTACCAGGAAGGGGTGCTTGGGTGGGAGGGGAGGAGGGAGGTTCTGCGCCCCCGAATCCGGAGAAAGCAGCCCGCCCACCCCTCCCCCGGCAGCCAGCACAGCGCACCCGACAGCCGAGCCCCAGAAGCCAGCCTCTGACGGTGCTGGCCTGGCGCTTGCCAAAAAATGCCCCTTGCATCTCAATTTTCCCGGCCGTTTCTCTTGCTTGCACCGCTCGCCCCCGGCCACCTCGGCTCTCCAGCGCAGCCCTCTCGGGGCTTGTGCCTTCCTTACCCGCTCCCCGCCTGCCCGAGGCCGAACGCAAACCCCACCGCCAAGGAGGCGCCGGGGGGCGCGGGGGCACCTACCCCGCCGTGCCCCGTAGCCTCCTACCAGACTCCCGATTACGGAAATGAGTGCCAGTTAGACCGAGAGCCACGCGTCCGCAGCCCCAGTACCCGGCTCTGGATGCCCGTCCGGCGCTTCTGTGCGCTCCCGGGTGCCCTGTCGCCGTCAGCTAGGCTGTGTGCCCCCTGCCCAGGCTCGGTAGCGCTCGCCGGTCACCTCGACCGCCTTCGTGTCCCTTCCTCCCACGGTCCTGATTGCAGCAAAACCGGGCAGCGCGAGGGCCAAAAAGTGGACAGGAGGAGCCTGTCTTTCCGCGCGTGGCGCAGCCAGCTCGCCAACTCCCCCCACCCGGGTCCAGATCCTCGCAATCCCAACTGCAACTTTTTCCCTTCGGTCTCCGTTTCCCCTGGGCTGCGGCGAGCGGGCGCCTGGCCGCGAGGCGTGGAGCAGGCGGGCGGGCGCGCGGCCGCGGGTGGCGGTGCAGGCGAGAGCCGCGAGCCTGCGAGTGGGTGGGTG